AAACTTTTTGTTTGGTGGTGGGGTAGGGTTTCTTGTACAGCTTGAGAAATTTTCAGCATTTTTATTTATATAATTAAATCTATTATGTCTAAATACTAATTTTTAATAAGGATTTAAAGATTTTTTTGAATTCTATTCTCATAAACTGTCATTTATACAGTAGATATCTTGCTTCTCATTCAAACTGTTACTGAATCCATTCATGAGAATTAGAAACTCTTCTTACACTTGTGTATATTTTATTGTATAGTGTGCTAGTCTTTTCAGTAGATAAATAAATTTAAAGCTGATAAATATTTATTTTTATAAAAAAGCAAGATTTTTATTTATTTAAACAATGACTTGTTTTAAAGATAAACATTACAAAATCTTTTTGCTACTGAGAAAAATGAAAATATGTAATGTATTTCTTGTAAAATTAAATACATTTAATTTCTATCATCTTTGTCATATATCAGAATACTTTTCATAAACAACTTGTGCTTTTGTTTGTATAATTCATGAAAAAAGCTTTTAAGTTCTCAAGTAGAGTCAAAAGTATCTTCAAACAGTTACAAGTAATTATTTGTGGGGTTAAGGAAACAAGACAATTTTAATAGGAAATTTTTATTTTGGCATACATTATGCAACGAAAATGAATTTCCCATGTTTTTTTTTTGTATTAAAAATAAAAACTTGAGGAAAACATAATCTTACAGATTTTTCTTTATATACATCCCAAATATTACATTTTTAATGACTTACAAGCTACATGTAAGCTTTTATAATTTTAAATGTAAATATATAAAAATAATGCCAGATGTAACTTGCTTTTTTTTTTTTAAGTTACTGAGAATGTCATAGAAGCTTTACACATGTACACAATTTTTACGGTTTTCAAACAAAACCTCATTGTTAACTTTTGGTTGTGGGATTGTTGACTTGTGTGAATGGTTTTAAGTAACCATCTGCCTATCATTGACCATCTTGTCATTTAAATCCACTACTACTGGTAACAGTTTTTTTTTTTTTTTGTGCAGTACCATCTGGTCAAGTCAGAATTAGCGTTCTAAAGTCTACTGCAAAAATGGGTTTTTACTTTTTAGTAAACCGGATTTCTTTCTAATGCTCTCCTCTTCTTACCCACGCTTTTTTCTAGTAATTAACTTTTTTTTTTTTTTTTTACAAAACATCACTGTCATCTAATTTTCCTTTTTATTATTATTTTATTTTTGTTGAAACAAAATTTTCAATCATTAAACAGGTTATGAAAAGTAACTTAAAAACCTTTAAAATGTTTTATAACTAAGTAAAAGTTCAAGTCTTTGAGGTCGAAGATAACAAAAAAAAAAATGTAATAAAGTAAAAAAGATTTTTTACTTTCATATCAACCTTTTTTTTTCTTTATCTTGACCGGGCGATTCACAATTATTTGGTCACGTGATTAAGCACAGTACTTTCCCGCTGAGTGTTGTGAAATGATATAAAATTAAAATCTTCTTTTTAAGATATTTGCAATATGGGAAAATCATTAAAAGATTGTAAAATTCACTTTTAGGAAATTAGTGCGTATTTACAAGACTAACGAAAAATTAATTCATTGGCAGCTCCATTTTTTCAAAACCGAAGAAGACTATGGAAAGAGATTTTTTTACATTTTTTTTAGTTTACACAAAGAAAAGAAAAATTCTGGAAAACATTGGAAGAGAAGATCTGATGAAAGTAAACTCATTTGTCTTTCGCTTGGTGAAAATGAAAAATTACCAAAAAAAAAACCCTGATGTTCCTATGTACCAAACTGGATACACTTGTCGCTGCGCGCACCTAGAAGAGAAAAAAGATATTTTTGATTTCAATCCTGACAAGAAAAAGAAAAACACATACAAAACTAAAACACTTGACATGTTTTTTTTATGTACAGTTTACTCGTAAAATCCATTACATTTGTGTACACTAATACAACCGAACCCTGACTACCCCTAGTCGATGATAGCCGTACACTAAAACGAAAGCGCTCGATTTCAAACAGAAACAAAAACTGACCCGCTTTCACCCGTCAGTTTTTTTTAGTTTTTTAACTTGTGAAATCTGTTAGAAACTATTTTGACTGCTGCCACTGACGGCATAAATTCACATCTGCTAGATTTCTCGTGATTGCTGTCAACTGGTCTGTATGAATGGTGGTAGTCTCGCTGACCCCTGTTGACTCTGCTTCGTAGTAAACAAAGGAAAACACTTACACGATTGTACTATCATTTTTTTTTTTACTTACTACATACAGTACTACTAGCATCCGTCTGGCTTAATACATTCATTACAGTACACCAATTTTTTTTTCTATAGGTATATCTGAAAAAAAAAATGTATCGGTATGGGTTGTAAGAGAAAAAGTCAGTCGGCTTTCCTTATGATGTGACTTGTGGGTTGTCAGAGCTGGCCCGTTCGGTCATCCATACAACGACTTCGAAGGCGAAGATGAGGTGGTGGTAAGATGTCAGTTAATAATAGGAAGACATACGTACCTAAGCCTACAAAGCAGTTTATCTCTTCTTTTTACTCCTCGCTCTTTAAATGTTGGTGTTACTCCTACCACTATCACCTGCAATAGCGTTTAACAAAGTAATAAACATACATACATACATCGCCATTACCACCATCATCAGTAGTATAGTAATAATAATAAATAAATATAATAATAATTGAAGCGGTGGTGGTAGTAATAGTAAAATCAGTGGCGATGGTGGAGGTACTATGTAAAATCAGCAGTAAAAGTAGTTGGGGGTTAGGAGCAAGAGTTAATGATGCTTCTCTTATTTGTTCCTTTTCCTCCCCTCCCTTGCGAAATCAACAAGCAGCAGTCTGCCTGTCTTGTTCTGAATAGAGTGCTAATTACTGGCAACACTAGGAATTTGTGTAGGAGAGGTTGTTTTCTGCATTGTTGTTGTCAAGTACTGCTTGGCTAGCTAGCATGTGTTTTATATATATATATATATATATATATATATAAAATATATATAGTGTTGGGAGAGGGGAAGACAGCCACTAGTTGTTTTGTCTTTTCTCCCTTTTCCACCCACTGTTTCCTGTGTTGTGTGCAACTGCTTTTAACTGCCACGCCACAAAACTACTTCGTCTTCTCTCTCATTTCTTCTAAGTCTTTAGGCTTTTTTTTCTGAATATAGAACTATTCAATCTCTTATTATTGATAATGAACACTATCAGCATCGCACACAAACCACTAATAGGTTTGCTTCAATGCTTGCCTATCGACATCTGCTTTTTTAGAGATAAGTGTGGATATAAGATCTGTTGTGTAAATTATCCACTTTGCTTACGTGAGTGAATTGTACAAGATTACAGTAACTGTGTGTGATAAAAACGATTTATTGAGAGTATAGTGATAGTCACTATAGTGTGTGAAAGTGTAGTTTAATCCAAGTTAGATACTTATGATTGAAAATGAGATTGTGTATGTGTACTGTAGAGATAGTTTGTCATGTGAGTGTAGTAAGAAGCGTATGTGTGAGTGGTGTTGATCCTTCATTCATTGTGTGCATTGTTGTTGAATACACGTTAAGTAAGTTTACGTAACTAGAATAAAGAAGGCGGTTAGTGGTTTATTATTCTACTTTTGACTTGTGTCCATCTCTTTTTTTCTTTTCTTTTTTTTTTAAAGTTTTTTGTAATGTTTGATTGCTGTAAGAAAAAAAGAAGAAAGAAATGTAGGTATTTAAAACAAAATCAATAAACTGTGTAGAAAAACTGGGATGGGTAGGACTTTTTAAGGGGGTTCTTGTGAATAGCAATACTAGTCGAGCATTGTTACTCCTTGTTCGGAAAAAATATTATATTTAGTGTACGATGTGTATGTAACGTGCCAATTTGGCTCCATTATCCTCTGAGAGACCACACATCTGCTCCAAGTTTAGTAGCAGGGTTCTTCTCTCGAAGAACTCGGACGGCTCCAAATGCGACGATTAAAAAAGGGGTGCAAGGCTGGCAAGTGTTCGACACTGAATTACAACAGACTATATAGCCGGCACTGTGGCGTACTGTCGCCTATTTCCATATTTATTTTTAATTTATTATTATTATAAATATTAATATTAATGATAATAATCACCATCATCAACGTCAAAGGAATCTCTCTTCAGTCCGCTTATTGGGGTCACTTCCTCAACAAACGCCACTACTGAGCGGTTCTGTGTGTGTGTAAATTATGTTGTGTATGTGTCCCCCTCGGGGCCTATGAAAGACAGCTCGTGAGTCAGCCAGCACCGCCTCCACTGCCTTTTTAAACTGCAGCAGTGGAGGCTGCATCAGTAGTGGTAGTAGTAGCAGCCATAGTATTAATTCTGGTAGTAATGATAGTCGTAGTAGTCGTAGTCAATAAATGACTCCCCCTCCTAGTCCATTAGAGCTCATTACACATGATCTGCTGCTGCTGCAGTTGTCGTCTTTCCTTGAATAGTCGCAATAATAATAATAATAATAATAGTGACTTGTGATAATAGTAGTAGTAGTGGCAGTAGCAGTAATAGTAGTAGATGCTGTTATAGTAGTAGCAGCAACAGTAATAGTAGTTGTAGTAGTAGTAGTAGTACCAAGTCCTAGCCAAGCACTGGGTGTGTGTGTGTCAGGACTGTCTCAATGCGTTGGCCTGGCCAGATATCATGTCATTTAATAATATTTATACTAGCACTTCTGAGGGTTACCTGTTTCCAGCTTACTCAAGCATGCATGCTTTCTACCCCTTCCCAGGTAAGTGACACCACTTTGGATAGCCGATCGGTCGGTAGGTAGGCTGACTCACAAGGAATTCACGTTCATTTTTCTCCATTTTTCTTACTTTGATTTTTGCTGTTCGTAGTAGGAAAAAAGAAAAAAAAGTAGTTTTGAATCTCTAGTTTATTGGCTGTTTTCTTGTGTATATGTATACATGTGTGTGTATGTATGTATATTATAATATAATGCGCACACATACACACCAAAGTGTGTTTGTGAAGCCTGGAAGAAGAGTTATGCTTTCTGTTGTGATGGTGTTGATAGGGTATATATGGCGCCTGTCTCTTTCTTTCTCTTTCTCTCTCTTTTGGATATTCCACTCAACAGCGATGGTTGTTAGATTTCTAATTGATTCTTCTATTTGCCTCCATTGGCTGTGAGTGAGTGAGAAAAGCTGCTGTTTGGCTAGTTGTATGGTCTGTGGTTGTATTGTAATGTATCTGTGTGTGCGTGTGTCCAGCTGGTGATCCTATGCTCTGAGGTCAAACTTACACCATTCCTCTTTTTCTTTCTCTGTTTATTCCACACACACACACACACACACACACACACACATTCACTCTGTTATTTCAACTCCCACATAAACAAGAAGCACTATTCAGGTGGATATCAACAAAGAAGGCTCTCCTTTTATTTTATTTTTTAATTATTATTATTCAGTTCTTTCCCTTTCCCCCGTTTTCAGGAACTCCATTTTGTTATCAACTCTCTTTTTATTATTGTTGTCTTTCGATTTCGACCATCTTTCTTTTCTGTACCTTTCTCATACTTTCAGTGGAGTATCTCTTTCCCTCCTCCTCCTCCTCCTCCTCCTCTTCTTTTCCGGCTGTCACCTGTGGTCACTGGCGGCTGCTCAGCTGTTGTTTGGAGGGGAGCGGTCAGTGTACCAGACGACCTACCACCGCATATCCAATAAATAACCACCTTTTCTGTTCCCCTCCCTGTGTCATCGTATTTTCTTTTTCATTCACTTATCCGTATGATTTAATTTTGCTGAGACATTCCACTTTATGGAAGCTGCCGGTCATTTCATTTAACATCTTCCGTTCTTTCCTTATTATGTCCATTCACAACACCACTGGACATTAAAAAAAACACATGTTCTCTCTTGGCCGGCCGGTCTGACCCAAGACATTTATTTTTATATGCTGCACTTTTACATCATGTATTGTAAACTAAACAGCAGTTTGAGTTATACGATTACAATTTATCATACGATGGCCTTTTTTCATTAAACTACTTACTGATTTTGAAATTTTTATTGAATTACTTTTTGTAGCTTAAACAAAAATATACTCCTGCATACACTTTGTTCTTTGTGTGTGTGTGTATTTTTTCACTGCATTCCTCTTCTTTAGCCACCAGTAAACTGGACATTATTTTCAACCTCATCTTGTTCGTTATTTAACTATTCTCCTGCCCTACTGTAACAACACAGGTACATTCATGTCACAACTCAGTGCCAGGCTTCAAGAAATATCAACTGCTACTGATTTTCCAATTCTGCTCCAGCCACCTGCAGAGTCACACAATGCTGCTACCAACTCTGCTCATTGCTTTGCTGCCATCGAGTGAGGAGGGTGAGAAAGAGACTTTGTGTGTATGTATGTATGTGTGTGGCAAAAACAAGACATCCTCAGGCTCCCTGTTGCTTCTCATCGTTTCCATAGCAATAGGGAGTTTATTCAATAATAGGTTTTTTTTATATATATATATATATATATATGTGTGTGTGTGTGCTCTACTTTGCATTTGCTTTCGTAGAAGGACTTGTGTTTTAAAGAGATGAAACCAGATTTCATTTCTTCATCATTACATTTTTATTTAATCTGTTCAATGGATTCATTTTGTTCCTTCCCCATTTTACACATTCCATAGTATGTTGTTGAAAAATCACTATCAATTATTCTATTTTAGTTTGTAAATTAGGTGTGATGCTAATCTTAACTTTTCTGCTTTAGTCAATAGTTCTAGGGCATGTGTTTATTTAACTTAAACTATATATTTTGTATGGGTTTGCTTATTAATTTTGGATAACTTCTGGTGTTTTCCCCCATAAATATTCATTATTTGAAATTTATGATTTTTTTAAAGAAAACATACAGGTTATAATACAGTTAAAATGTTTGTCTTTTATAAGAAATTTAAAATATAGTGATGAGTTCACAAAATGAAATTTTTCTAATTATCTCAGTGTGAACATAATTGTTTGTTATTTATATAAAAATGTCATTTCATTTTAGCATTGTATACTAATAGCTCCAATTTTTTTAAGTATCATTGTTACATATTAAGTAACCCTTTTGAAAACATGATTTAAGTTTGATAGAAAAATTTTATAATTTTTTTACATTTTAATATCTTTACTGATCAAAATTTATATATTTATTTTGTTTTTATACCTGAAAAATTTCTGAAGTTTCATCTTAGTACAAAAAATATTAGAAATTGAAAGTTTTACTTTTTTTTTTGTTTATTTGAAATCTAAAAGATGTACTGAAGTAATTTTACATTTTTATAGGTTTGCCTATGATCTGGTTCACACTCCTCTCTAGTCTGTTGAACAGGAGTAGAGGTTTATCCCTTGTTTCCTGTTTACGATTGCGTTTCCGGTTCCTTCTAAAGTCTTCTCATTCTCTCTCACTCCCAGTAGCTCCTTTCATCTTAGTGTCATTATTGCCTTGCTTGGGGTGAATTGATTAAAAGAAAAAAAATTGTACACTTCTCTTGTCCATTTTTAAAGTAAAGGTTTTTAAAAAATTGTCTTTGTTTTAGCCAAATTAAGATTTTTTTTTTTAGATTTCTTTCGATTTTTCTGATCAAGATATATTTTACCAAAAATTAATTTTAATAAAAATTTAAGTAAACACTTAAAATAAAGTAATTTAAAATTTGGTATTGAAACTTATGGGATACATTCTTAGATATGCTTTTTCACTCTTTGCACAAATATTCTCACTTAGAGATTGGAAATTTTTGCCAATTGAATAGTGAATTTCTTCAATAAATAACCAGGGCATATTGTCCAAGATAATTTTTGAGTTTATTACATTGCATTTTACCCATCTTTTAGATTTTTAGTTTTATTTTTGTCCTTTAATCATTGTTTTATATGGTGAAAATTGACCATAATTTAAATAAAAATAATTTTCTTTCATGTCAGTCAGTATCTGTTTTCTTGTTCTAGAGAATGTTACTTTTGTTTTACTTTTACTTATTTCTAGCCGATTTCAGTTTAATGATAAGTAAACTGGTTCTTCTGTTGGGTAGAAGTTGATACACTGTCGACATATGGTTGTTGCTATTTCCATTGTATATAGATGATAGCTTACCACACCTGTCCTTCCTTTAGTTAAGGCCAGGTGTTTTTAGTCCTGTTCCTTTTAATGCTTGTAAGACTACAAACAATCCATCTTGAACAGTTTTAGAGTGCATTTTTTTAGAAAGTGATAGTGAAAAGGGGGAGGGGGAAAGCTTCACTAATTGCTTATTAAGTAAATATTTATCAGTTTTCTGCTTGTTTAACTACTGCTGAGGTGATTATCTTGATGAATAGGATCATTGTAATCATGTAACTTGTTTCACTTTAGTTGTTCAGAAGAATTATCAAAATAATTTCCAGAATTGTTATCTACTTGTTAATCCCTTATAATGGGCTAAATTAGTTCGTAGTTATTAATTGAATTTATTGCATATACACACACACACATATATATATATATATATATATATATTTCTTTGTCAATAAAAAATATAGGACATGTGACTATCAAGTATTACATTTCAGGTTTGTTCTACCTACATTATTTAATACTTAGCCTTTTCTTTTAGTATTTTCATATAAAGAGATGCTGCCCTATTGTTGTTACATTCTGTATTACATATTTTATAAGTGCTTGGTTGCATGTAGTCATCAGATGTGAAAGGGTTACCTAAATCAGCTGTTCACTTCTAGGTTTGAATCTGAAATGACCTTGTTTATATCAGCATATTAAAAAAATATTCTACCCATCACTTTTAACATTATTCTAACATTTTTCTTTATTATGAAAGACTTTATTCTTTAAGTAGGATCTAATAGCAAATCAGTCAGGTGTTGGGTGGTGTTTATGTACTATTGATAATCGCAAACAGCTTTAGCTAAAAATATTTTTCTAATGAAAGGTGATTAGAGAAATTCTTTTCAGCTGTATACATTTTTAATCATGTCATAAAGAATCTCATCTTTTGTAGTTCACTAATTCTGTGTATCAGTTTTATGCAAGTAGATTTTATTTTTTACTTTCAGAGACTAGAATTTAGAACTTAAGATCATAGTGATTATTGTTCAGTTTGGTACATTAAATAGCATTTTGTGAATTATCAAATTTTCTTAAATTTGTGAAGAAAGAAAAAAACTTTATTGAATAACCCATCATAAATGATGGCAATAAAAGTATTTTAAATTAAAATAAAACTATTTGTGTAAAAATAATAATGGCTCTCTCAGGCTACATTCATCAGAATGTTTTTTTTTCTTTTTTCTTTAAAAAAATGAGAAAAATTAGTCTTTGTGGGTTTAGAAATTGGAAACTAAATGTTAGTGACCTGTAAAATGCAAAAAAATTGTATTGTTTTGTTTTTCTTAAAGAGATGTCCTGGAAATTTTGACTCCAGTATGCTTACTAGTGACTATGATGTACACTTATTTAAGTCATTTTATTCTGTCTGATGTGATGCAATGAATTTCTTGGCCCAACCATGTGTTTGCTCATATTTTAGGAAGTGAGTTGAGCCAAGTACTTTTTAACACCCTCTCATATTACAAACATGATAACAATTTTACTTGTGTTTTCATGAATTAGAAATGTTAATTATAAATACCAATTGTTTCATTGAACAAAATTTTCTTTCTGAATTAATTATTCTTATCTTATAAAATACAGAGTAGTTTTGATTAAAAGGTATTAGCTTATTGTCATGTTACTAAAAGTAATCATAAAGCAATAATTACAAGCAATTAAAAAGAGCAAAATAAATACAAGAATTAATTCTGCATTTTTAAAGAAAGATTAACTGTTATTTTATATACATAATGAAGTTAAAGAGAAAATCTGTATCTTGAAGTAGATTCAAATTGCTACTCAATTTACAAAGTAGTTGGTCTAGCATAATGATTAAGTTTCAAGAAGAGATGCTAAATGTTGCAGTTGCTATTCTCATTATATACTAATGTCATGGTGATGAGGGGAAGTGTTGGCAAGTGATACCATATGACTTGGAAAAGTGTTCTTTTCTTTATTATGATGGGCAGATGATTAGTTAGTGGTAGTCACTGAGTCAGAAATTAGATTGTAAAAATAAGTAAATAAATAAAAATTAGGAATAACCAATTCTGTAGCATGATGAAGGGATCTGCTGAAAAATTATTGATTTCTAAGAAAATTGGTCATAAAGATAAATGAAGCTTTTTATTGAAAGAAAAGAAAGAAGCTGATAATTTGTAGAATAAATATATTCAGAAATTTAAAGGATACCAAAGGAAAGTAAAATATAATTATTTAATCATAAAACATCTTTGACAGCATTTTTCATATTTTTGTTAAATATTTTAGAGGATAATTAAAATGTACTGTTATTTGATTCTATAAATCTCAAAATATACTAGAAATGACAATGCTCAGAAAACTCAAGAATATTAAAACTGATAATGAATAAAAGTGAGACTTTACACTATACTAAAAGATAGCGAGATGTAGAGGATACTTGGTAGTAAGTAACCTGATGAGTTATTTGATTTTTAATTGTTTTATGTCATTTTAAAATTACTTAAAATAATTATTCTAGTTTATAAGCTAGAAGAATATTTGTTAAGGAGTTATGAAATGTTATATTACTGTTGCAGTTTGTAATTGTTTTCAGTAGTAAAGTCAGATGACTTTACTATTGAAAAGTATACTTTAAAACTATAATATTAGATTATTTTTCATGGGATTTTATAACCTGTTAGCAGAAGATTAATTTTGTATTCAAGTTGGATGTTTAAGCTTTTAGAATTTATGATTGAACCTAATGAATAGGTAATTCACTTTAATTATAACCAAATAGAG